TGTAAGTCATTAACTAGTTTATTTGTTTTATTTCCATACGTGTGTTTTCTTTTAAATTTTTAATTTAAAACATTATAAATACTTTTTAGAATTTTTAGTAAATTCTTTATATTTTCCAATAATAATGCCAATTATTATAGAAATAACTAATAATATACCTCTACCTATTTTAAATTTGTTGACCTAGGGGTTTTATGTAATAAGGCATTTCGAGAAAGTTGAAAAAAGCAAAACAAATTAAGAGCCTATAGCAAAATAAAAACATCGGAGCTTGGTATCAACCACAAGACATGCCTCTCTTCAGGATGCCCCTTAACTACTTTAGAGCTTAAACTACAATGACAAGGGAAGTACTCTTAGAGGGTTTTTTTGTTAAAAATATCCTCTAGTCTAATCTAGGTAGAGTATATAAAATGATAACTAGGAAGCTACAAAAATGGACACTTTTTAATTAAAGATAATAGTTCAGTCATTTGGTAGTTATACCAGGAAAGTTTTTTGGGAGTTTTGAAAATGAGTAATTTTGTAGATTTCGATGTAGTCTTTCCGAATTTTAGATGCACACTGGACTAGATTTATTTATTTTAAAATAGTTGTTTGTGCAATGTTTTCAAAAATAGAATATTTAAAAAAAAAAAATCTTAAAACCTAAGCCAGATAGCTTGGGAGCAAATGAAAGGTGATCATGAGGATATCGAATTTGACGAAAACTAATTTATATTTTACTCTAAGTCTTCATAAGTAAATCTACTCTTTTTCTTGAGCTATTGTGATAATAACAAGATTTAAGATTCCAATCAATTCTATTTTGGTTGTCTAAAAATAACAAATAGTCCAGAGAGGAGTTTTTAAAAGTACTTAACAATAACATGTTCAACAATCAGACATACGCCTAAATTTTAAATTTACCGCTTCAAAATTGACGTGTTCAGCACGGTTAGTGCATATTCAGTGTCAGTTCTGATTTCACTTGGCAGTGGTGCGTATCGTTGTTTGTGTTATTTTTTCACCAAATTTTGGTTATAAAGGTAAATATATTTTTCGGACATTATTTGAATCATTACGACTATATTTTTTTCTATTGGGTTTAAAGGGAATATAATTTGGCAAACTATTGTAGGGTCGTTTAGGCCTAATTTTATACACTACCAAAATTTTAAGGTTATGTTTTTAGTTTTAAAAATTGATCACAGCTTAATTGAACAAATATGTTCTACAATCAGACAGCCCACTGGTTACAAACCTTGAGTATCTAAAGCAGTTTCAATATATTTAATTTTTTCTGTTTTAGAAATATTGCTTGCGGTCGAGTAAAAAAGTCTGACAAAAGTCAGTTTGACGAAAATATGATTAAATTAGCTGGTAATGCTGTTATACAAGAAAATATGTCATTTAGACAAGCTGCTGAGAGATTTGACCTTAAATTTCAAACTGGTTTTGAATGTTAAAAAACAAAAAGAAAACCCCGATGCTGCAATCAGAATGGCACCTAATTATGCTTGTCGGAAAATATTCTCTGCCAAACAAGAAAGTGCTTTGGCTAAATATCTAGTGACTTGCTCAAAAATGTGTTGTGGAAAAACCATTGTTAACATTAGAAAATTAGCTCATGAAATGGCTATAATTAACAAGATACAAGTCCCTCAAAATTGGAATGAAAATAAGAAATCTGGAAGAGAATGGTTTTTTGGATTTAGGGTTCGACATCCAGAATTAAGTCTCCGGCAGCCAGAGGGTTGTAGCCTTTCCAGCACAACTTCATTCAACAAACACAATATTAAACTCTTTTTTAATAACCTCAAGAACATTTTCAACGGACATGGAAATTTTAGTAGTGAAACCGAATATATAATTTGGATGAAATTGCAACAACGGCGGTTCAGAAACCTAATATTGCCCAAAAAGAAATTAAGCAGGTATCGTCATGCACGAGTACTGAACGTGGACTATTGGTAACAACTTGCTGTATTATATCAGCTTCTGGTAACACTATTCCACCAATAATGGTATTTCCTAGAAAAAAATTTAATCCACGGATGATTGCAGATGCCCCGACTGATACATTGGGACTAGTTTCAGACTCTGGTTGGATGAATAGGGAGATATTCCCAAATGGAATACGTCACTTTATTAAATACACATTGAGCTCGCCAGATAACCCTTTGCTACTTATATTTGATGATGACGATGAAAGCCATCTTTCAATTGAAGTATTGAATTAGACCAAAGAAAATGATGTGATAATAACTTTACCGCCACCACACATCCAATAAATTACAACTATTAGATGAGACAGTGTTTTCTTCGTTTAAAGCATTTTACAATACTGTTATACAAACCTGGCTCCTAGAACATCCTGGAATACCTCTTAGCATATTTGACATTGGTACTTGTGTTTGATATGCTTTTGAAAAACCCATGACATCTGCAAATATTAAGTCTGGATTTCGCAAGACTGTTAAATATCCTTTTGATATGCATATATTTACAGACGATGACTTTGCAATAAGTAGCGTAACAGACAGAGAATTAAATTAAATGCCATCAACATCAAGAGGTCATCAAGAAATAAATAAATCTGATTGCGATAAAGATCAGACAACTCCACTTGCTGACACGACTACTGGGCAATAAAACAACAAATTGTTTCTTAGTACGGAAGTTGTTAAAGGTTATCCAGAAGCCAAAAACGCACTACACAGAAAAAAAAAAAGAGAAAAAGCAAGAGCATTATTGCTACTAACATCTCGGAAAAAATGCTCCAGAGGAAAAACAGAAAGAGAGAAAAAGAAAAAATCTGTTCTGTCAAAAAAGAAATTAGTGAAGATTAAAGTGCTTAGTAAAACATCAAGTGACGAAGAAGAAGACGAAGAGGAAGAAAATATAAGGAAACTGATGACCACTGAAAATTCTGATGACAACATTCACAATATTGGTTAAATTGATCCTCCTTCATTGCTGGACCAGCTCGAAAAAGATCCAGAACCAGGTGATTTTGTTTTGGTTTTATTTAAGGACAAAAAGAAAATTATTTATTATGTTGCTGAAGTTTTAAATAAAAAAGAAACAATTAAATACAAAGTGAAATGCATGCGAAACTCAGTAAATAATAGAAATAGCCTTATTTTTCCTATGATAGAAGATATATCTCATGTAAAAATTAATCGGATTAAAATGGTACTTCCAAGGCCGGCACAGGTGGGATCAAACGGCAGTACGGATATTTATTGTTTGAAGTATACTTTGCAAACCTAGACATTCGATAAAACTGTTGACCAATTGTGGAACACTGTATAATAATAATAATAATAATAATAATAATAATAATATTCGTCATTATTTCCATTAATTTAAAGTAAATACAATAAAATAATACATATATACACGGGTGAAGTTTATTTTTGGTTGTGCACTAGACACAACAAAAAATATTCTTCCACTTAACCCGCGAGTAAACCTGCATATAACCATAGAGCAATAGAGCAGAAATAAATAATCAAAGACAAAATATATATACCATATAACTATATCAAATAAATAAACAACTGTAATTCTAACATTTAACAAACAAATGAAAATGCACTTGTCTCAGGAAGGCTGAATCCAATGAAAAAAAAAAAAAAAAACATAACTAAGTAGGGCAAAAAAATATCAAAAACAACGACCAATGAAAGAGGGAAGTACAAATACGTAGCGATACAATAAACAACAATATGTATGCAGTGAGGAAAATTGTTACTTAAATTTGATTTTCAAAAATATGCATTTTAAGGGCTGTCTGTCTGATTCTGGAACATACATGTTTCACTATCGGACATTTTAATTTATATTTTTAAAGTTAGGTTACTTTTTTTGTTTGGATACATACTATTTTTTTTTAATTTAAAATATTATAGTATTTACTTCTAAGTTTGTATGCTACACTAAATTCATAGTTTTATAAATAAATATAAAAATGGGAACATATTATATGTTTTTTGTCTGATTGTGGACCACTTTCCCTTACCATTGCATATTATCTGTCTTCTTGCGTCAAGCCAAACATGTGTTATGGATTTAATTTTAAATTTTATTAGGTCTGTATAATAATGTAATAATGTATACATATTATACAGAGTGAAAAGTTTAACTGTAAAAATTCTGTAACCTAATAAATATAAGTTTGTAGCAAAATTTTTGAAATATAACATTATTTATTTTAAATGGGTATATTACACAGATGTTTGTTTATTTTTTTAATTATTTGGGGGGTTGTAGCAACCCCTAACTTCTTTTAAGGAAAATATAGGTTTTATTTTAAAGCTTTTTTACAAATACAATTTTGCATTTTTTTTGTAGCCTTTTATAAACAATGGATCTGAAAAAATAAAATAAAAAAATGTTATCTGAAACTACTTTAATGCAAAAATTTTTATAGTACCTTCCAACTCTCTTTCTGACAATACCCATATCAACAATAAGAAGTATTCTGAACATTTGGTAACACCTCCGGCGGTGCTTGCCTAATTTCATCTCCAATTTATTCTCAGTTAACATTTACTTATTTTATGTTTTCCGATATATTGCTTATACAAGTAATACATAGGTAATTGTATTTGTAACTAAAAATGGTTTAAAATAAAAAAATATTCTACATAACTTTCCATTTAAAAAACTTGCTGCAACCTCCTAGTTATTTAAATAAATAAACCTCTTTGGAATAAAGATAAATGGAGGAAATCAGGAATTTGACGAGAAAACTTTATCTATAAAGTTACAGAATTTGTTCCAATTAAACTTTCCACTCTGTATAAAATATAAGATATCCTTTTTATACCTGTAAGTAGTACATAGTTTAAATCTAATTCTAACCCATTCCACCACACATACACACATATAGAGAACTATTTAAAAATACTTTGTGGATACGGATGTAAAAGTAACTTTAGAAAAAACTCTACAAAAATGGGAAGCGAGTATTTTTCTCTTAAAACTAAAAAATGTTTTCAAAACATACTAACCGCCGCAACATTGAAATTTTGGACCACTTCTGGAGTTAAACATTCATGTCCAATAGAAGGTATCTGTCCCAGACAAATTGGTAATATTGAAGCGATTATTATCAAAAAACACATTTTTAAATTTTTTAGCACTATTGGAAAATGTATAAACAAATAACACAAAAATCTTAGGTAACTTACTACGAAATTATACTATGAGTAATCCTGAATGAGAACTTTGCATTTATATACAATCCAACCTTGACAAATAATTACGGAAAACGTTATGATAACAGTGTTTATTATAAGTTTAAAGTATTGATTTTATCATTGCCTCAACTACTTTATTTTCAATTACATGTACCGGGTGTTTCGATATATAATATATGCAAAATGTTTTTAGGTAATAAAGCTTTTTACTATTAATTGTTTTGAACGTTTGTTAAAAATTAAACAAAAGCAACAATTAAGGTAATGGTGCGTAAATAAAATTATTGTTAATGCACCTACTTAGTAGATAGTATTGTGGTAAATAATAATCGGTCAAATTGTCTTTAAAATTAATGTAACTACTTGATAAAAGTTTGACTAGTAAAATAGTAACCTTGCTTGCTTATTTTTTAAATGTTTTTTAGTTAGGGATAATCTTAATACTTAAAAGTAGTAATTTTATGAATACCATTAAAAAAACGAATGTATGTAAAACTATGTTAAATTTTATTATGTTTGTGATTAATTTTTTGGTATTTTTTTGGTGACATATTGTTGTATTAATATTTTTCAGAGAGTAGTTTGAATTTCATCGAAAAGTTGAATTGAGAATTATAAAGTTATGTTTCATTAAACATCGACACGTTAGCAATCCACATAGACCAGAGCATACTGGCGCATTCGTTTGAAAAATTGTTTTAATTCGTAATTTTTTTTTTTTTTAATGTCCGGAGAGCTTTCCTGATTATAAAAGTGTAAGATGACACTCGATATCTGTTGATGTTATTGTTTAAACAACAAAAAATTAATTAAGCCAGAAAAATGCATTTTTTTGCAATGAATTATTTTTATGAATTTTTTAAAACCCAAAATTGACGAAAATTCTAATTTTCTTGAATTAAATAATATAGCTTAAAATTTAAAATGCTATAATTTTAAATTTTTTACCGAATACTTAAACTATAATAAACAAAATTACCTAAATAAATTTTCTAAATTTTGTTTGTTGTTATGTTTTTTTACGTTATAACAATATGCTTCCTCCACGCGTGTACTTTTAGAGAGAGATACTTCTATCTCACTTCCAACTCAATGTATAAGATATGCAAGAGAAAGCCCGATGACGCGCCGAATAAATTTTTTGCTGTTTTTCAGCGGTTATAAGTAAAAAGTAAAAAGTATCTAAAAAAGTAAAAAATCACATGATACAAAACTATTAATCGCCAAATATAACAAAGTGTTATCAAAAATGTTAATAATATTTTTTTTAAACTTATTACCTCTGAAAAAAAAAATCTTGCTGATGGTTGGAAACTTCTTTTGACAGGTATTTGCCAATGGACCTATTCATTCGCTCTACTATTCCATCTGTGCAATGCCGTAGTTCTAGTTGTCTTTATGTCTAGTATATCACATATTTCTCATCAAAGCTTGTAACGGTTTTCGTTATTTAGACCCAAACATTGTAACGGTGGAAACCGTTTTCGTTATTTTGTCGCAAATATCTCTACTCTAATGTCATTTGTCGTTTATGCCTTGTGTAAAAAGTTGGTAATTCATATCGATTCATATCTATCAACGAATAAGTTAAGATTTTTCGAATTCAAAGCGATTTTCACTCATAGCCTCTTTGATTTGGGGAAAGCCTAGTTTTGTTGACCAGTAGCTTCGTACGTTGGGCATGTGAACAACTGACATGTATATGCAGATCCCAAAAAACTGTTTTATATCAGCTGCAGATAATGTGGCTGCTTTATTAGGATCTTTTTGGATAGAGTAAAGGTTTCATTCATCTGCAATTTTTTAAAATAAATTGTCATCAAAAAAAAATATTTGAAGAACTGAAATGGTGTTTCAAGCTTCTTTATTGATGAAGGCAATGTTGAGTTTCCTTGAGATAATAAAGTCTCTTCACTAAAAACAAGATTTTGCTTACGCCATAAAAGACTGGACATTTTCTTTTTCAAATTACCTGCCCCCTGTTGTGGTTCCTCTGGAGTTTGATTTGGCGTGGTTGCACTCTGCTGAACTTGGTTTTCCTGCTCAATATCTCCATCAGGAAAAATTATGGTACCATCTTCAAACTGCAGTGGTAGTTCTTCTAGTTCTACAGGCTCAATTTGATCAGAAGCAGACTCAATTTGATCAGGAGCAAAGTCATCCAGATCATCATCTGAATTTACCTCAAAATCATCCTCACTGTTGGATGAGTGGGCTACACAATGGGCTACAGAATCGTTCTTTTCAGTAAGTGGTCTTGTCCATTATAGTTGATTTACCATCTAAAAAGTAAAAAAAATCTTTGTAATTGAACTAAAGCCTCGTAGCAAATATATTGAAATTTTTACTGGAGTTTATACGATGTAGCCAATATGATACGACCCAATTTTATTACAGAATTTATTGCTTTACAACAAGGAAACTTATAAATAAATAGAAAAAACCAAAAAGTACTTACCTTTACAAGAGAAAAAGCTAGCAAAAATAATTCTAAAATCGATAAACTAAGAAATATCGAGTTAAAAAGGCGGACTAATTTGCATAGGCAATATACCCACGTGCAACCGAACACAACTAAACAAAAAAGCCGGTACAAATCGCCACATACTGAGTTTTCGACTGTATAGACTCATTCAGTATGGTAGTAGCTAAACTGATACGGTACGCAGTACAGCCAAAAATAACATTTGTGACGAATAACCCGGTAAAAATATGGTTGTATCAAATTTGATACGTTAGGCAGTGTAGGGTTAAACAAAAACAAGAGAACCAATGGTAAATTTTGATTCACATAAACATTTACTCACGGTAGTTAAAAAACAAATTATTTACTAATAAAAATAAATATTAGTAACTTGCTTATTAAAATTAAAACAAGTAATTGATACAATTTGTTAAATAAGGGTCGCCTATCCTAATAATTAAAAATAAAATTTGATTATTTTTATTAAAAATTCAAGAAAAAATATTAAGTATATTTATAAAATTGTATTACCACTAAGGCCGGTACTCTACATTAGCTGTTCCTTCTTTTTCTACGAATAAACACCCCAGAGAAATCGGACATTGGCTGATTAGGGTATTCAGAACAGGTGATCCAGTCGCTTTAAAAATGGCCGTATATAGACCCACATACATACGATTTACATTGAAAACGATCGGACTATTGGTGTATGTTAGAAAGTAAATACCTACTTTCGTAATTGTAATAATTTTTATTGGTTTTAATACATCTACAAATATATTCGAGATGATAATTAGCTACCTTTCCTTCATATGTTGCGCTTATTTTTAAACATTTATCAAATTCTTTAGACACCTTGACATTGATTTTTGTAAAACAATATTAAATTTTACTTACATTTTTTAGTTTGTATTTTAAATTTATTAATTTATATACTCGTCAAACATGTCCAATAAAATTTCTAATATTTTGTTAACAAATAAAAAGTAAACTGAATTGTTTATTTTAGGAGATCAGTCCCATCATAATACATAACATTAAATAGATAAAAACTATAAAAATAAGAATAAAACAATGATAAAGATTTTAAAATTATCTATTTAGTATTTGAGTAAATATTTAGTCTTGATAATATAGGTAGGTACATACCTAACATAGATAAAAATATTTTTAAGCTATTGCATAGCTTTTATCGCGGGCTTTGAGCGCGGTGATCGAATCAAGAAATTCCACGAAAATAAACCATTGTCTGCATTGTCGAACGTCGTTTCAGTTCTACAGACTTCGGCACGGTGTTTGTGTGCGTGCGACTAGACGTATGCGTGTAGAATAGCTACTAACTAGGCATGGGCGGTTATTGAAAAATAACCGGTTATCGGTTAACCGGTTTATTTTTGTAAAAAATATAACCTTATGCGATTAACCTTTAGTTAATAACCGGTTATCGCAATAACCGGTTATAATTTTATTACTATTACGAGTAGCCTTACTAAAAACCAAATTAATAAATTACTGTTACCCTGTTTTAATTATTCAACTTGTAACTGTAATTGGCATCTGAAAATAAGAATGCAGCGCCAAATTCGCAGCCTATAAACTATAAATATTGTATTTTTATGATTTATTCCTTGTATAAAATTACATAGCAGTATGCAAAAATTATGTCATTATGATTTATACTTCTTTAATTGGCCACCTCGGCGTTGCATTCTTGTTTTTAGCTAAGAGTAAAACACTATGCAGGGTGTCCCAATGAAAAGTAGCCCATTTCCAGAGCTTAACAGGGTGTTTTTTAAAAATCTATTTTAAATTCACCGTAACCAAATTTTATCAAATGGAAACCGGCTACTTTACCTGTATTTTAAAAAGAAAACAATAAAATATATTCTTAGTAGAAGATTTATTTATGTGCTACATATTCCAGTACTCTTCATCAAGAGAACCCAAAAAAACCAACTGGTTTGTGTGACTTGGAGTTAATCTGCTTCTGTGGTCAGTACATATCAAATTTAATAAGGACACCAGTCTTTCAGATGGCACGAACGCTCCCAATATAGTTAAATATTTAAAAGCCACTTTACTTGTTGCTGGGAATGCACTTTCATTTTCTCTCCAATACTGAATTGGGTCGATTTTCCTATTTATAAGTGGTTGGTCTAAATATAATTTTAATTCTGTGGGAAAATTTGTCCCACTATTGCCACTTTCAATAGACTTCCTTGCAGTTGCTACGGCTTCATCATGGATCTGCCAAATATCATTAACCACATTTTCATCGGAAGCAGTTAAAAGGTCGTTATCCAAATTTACTGTTCTCTGATCTTCAAGTTTTAATTCTTGCAGAATTTCTTTTTTTAGGTGAGCAATTGCGTTTGCTGCATTAATAGGTGAGCAAAAATGTAGTTTTTTAAATCTAGGATCTACCATAGTAGAAGCTGCTAATAAAGTGTTTTTTTCTAAAGGAATTAACCGTTTTTCAATTTGCTTTTCTAATTCTGTTTTAAACATTTGCGAAAGTTTATTTGAGACTACTATTTTTTGCATCGCTTTATTAATACAGTTAACTAATGGTATAACTATACTTCCACAGACATATTTGTCACCAGAAATGTCCTTAGTTGCAGATTCAAAAGGTTTAAGTACCTCTAAACACTCTGATATAATTGTAATTTCATATCCAGTAAGCATCGGGGGTGCTTTTTTATGATTTGCAGAAAGTAAAATTTTTCCCGCATGGCTTGAAAGTTGTAAAAATCTTTCTATGCAATAAAAAGTAGAGTTCCACCTTGTGGGTACTTCCTGTTTTAAATAAAAGAAAGTTCCTTCAGATTTTCCGTCTTTTTTTTTTCATTCCTCAAATCATCCTGTGCTACATTGCTGTGTTTGAAATAAGCGACAATGGTCTTTACTTTGTCTATTATTGTAACAAGATCTACTACAGACACCAATGCTTTTGAAACCACAAGATTAATATTATGGGCAAAAAAGGGTACATGAATGTTATTATTATCTTAAAATAACAACTTGATACCTGCTACAATATTAGCTCCATTGTCTGTTGTTGCTGATAAGACTTGAGATTTTTTAATTCTCCAGTAATCTAACATCTCTGTCAGATCTTCGCAAATGTTTATTGCAGTATGATGAGGTGTCAAATTTTTTACTCCTAGGTTCATTGAACATAAACGAGTTCTTTCTTGATCTAAAAAGTAAAAAACTACTTTAAAAAAGTTGCATATAATAATATGAAATATGTTTACCAATATAATGAATTGTCATGACGATGAAGCTGCGTGTAGCATTCATAACAGTAGCTAAGTCTGTCGTAATTGCAACTATTTTGACTTTAGCTAATATTTGAGACACAATGGTATGCATCACTGAATGTTTTTGTTCAACGAGCTGAGTCATCTAAAAAATATGTATGTAATAAACATATGTAGGTATGTATTTGTAAAAAACATACTTTTTTTCGGCTAGGTGGTTTATATAAGGAAACAACTGTCTTTAAAAATTTTTTCATGCCTGTTTTCTCAGTACACCCCAAAGGCAAATTATCTTTACATAACATATAAAGTAAAGCTTCAGTTATAGCTATTTCTTTTGATCCTCCAGCTAAAACAAATACAATTTATACAAGCAGTGTTTTAAAATAAGCGAACATATAAAACATTATTAGCTTAGGTACAACTTACCCCCATAGCTGCGCTGCTCCTTAAAAACATTTTTTATGGTTGGCTGCAAATAACTACTATTACTTATAGAGTTATTAGGCAAATTGTAAAAGTTTTTATGTGATGAAATTGTAGACGTATCACTTATCACACTAGCTATGTCTACATCATTGTCTAAATCACTATTGCTATCTAAATCATATTCATTTTCCTTTAAAGATATTTGAGTTATTTGACTGTCAACATCTGACTGTGTCTCCTAAAAAATAAGCAACATTAAAATTTTTCACAAACATGCTACAAAAATGTTAATGTGTCTAGCCCTCCCTAGCTCATCTACCACCAATTCCCAATAATAACAATACAAAGTACATACTTTACAAATATAAGCAAACTACAATTACCTGCCCTTTATTTATTTTCTTTCTACTACCCTGTTGTGATTCGTCTTCTTCTTGAATCCTTTTAGTAGAACTTGATTCATTTGATTTTGATAGGTTAAGCGCTTTATTAAAACATAAAGTATGCTTATGCATCAAATGGTTTTTTAAATTAGTTTTCCCTCCACCAGTTTTGTAAGCCTTACTACACAAATTACAAATACACATACCATTACCCTTTCTTGAAAAAAAATTCCATACCTCACTCTTGTTCTTAGTAGAAGACATAATCTATGATCGTGATGGATGACACTGGTACTGCACTAATTATAATTAATATCTGAAGGGAACGAACAAACAAAAATTAGAAAACTCGTTAACTTGTTAATTAAATTTTGAAAGAGTAAAACCAAATTTGGTAGATTTTCACACTTTTATTTTAAAAATAAAAATTTTTAAACAAACACTAACATGACATATGTTTCGAAGTACAACTTCTTTTTCAAATGTGACTATTTACAATTCGGTATCCAATATATATACAAAATAATTTAACAAAACAAAGTACTTAAGAAAACATCAATAACATTACAAAATAAACTAACTATTTAAAGTAAATAAGGGTACTTAGGTAATTATAATATCCATCAAATAACAATAAGATAGCCCATTACCGGGATTATCTCACAGAAAACTGGGAAAGAGGTTTAATAAGGGTGAATTATTAATATCTAATTGATCATTTAGTAAGTTATCTGAATTTTTAAATCTATTTATTTCAAGTGTTTCTAAATGGTTTAATTTAAGGCTCTTATTTTCTACATGTAAAATTTCAAAGTTGTCTGTAAAAGAATGATTTTCAGCTAAAATATGATTTGAGTAAGTAGAATTATTTTTGTTTTTTGTATAGCTATTATAATGTTCGGAATAGCGTTTTTTGAAAGTACGGCCTGTTTGACCAATATACAATTTTGGACAACTACCACAATTTAATTTATATACCCCCGATTTATTATTAGGATTAATTTTACCCTTATTGTTTTTGATATACTTCCCAAGCGTATTATTGGTTTTAAAAGCTACGTTAATATTTTGGTTATTAACCATTGGTGGTACAGCTCTACACCGGCAAAATAGTTCATTTAATATTTCTAATAAAAACTTGACCTGCTATATGTATTATCAGAATGTCCGTGGAATAAAAACTAAAATAAATACCGTTTACTTGTTTTCTCTTCAGTCCGATTTTGATTTTGTAGCATTGACAGAGACTTGGTTAAACGAATCTTTTCGTAGCTGTGAGATAGAAAGGATAGATCTACTTCTCGAGTTAAATTAAATTACGGTGGGGGTGTTCTGCTAGCTGTCAATAAAATTTATTGGTAATGAAATAGATCTAACATTTATTAGCGATATTATTCCAATTATTGATATTCTAGGCACTACGATTACATTAAATTATTACAAAATATTAATACTACTTGTTTATATTCCTCCAAGTCATTGTTGATTATGAAGCCCCAATAGATTATTAGACTTAGTTTTTTGTAATGAATCATGCACTGTTGAAGGGGTATATGATTTGATGGTTCCTGAAGATGTCTCACATCCTGCTTTGAATATTAATTTTCAAATATATAATCCTCGTAGTAAACCTAATCCAGTAAATGAAAATTTATAGTATAATTTTCGTAAAGCTAATTATATGATGTTATATCAACTAATAGCTAATATTGAAACTGCATGTAAGTTATTTTATGAACAACTACATGGTATGATGGATATATGTATTCCCAAATATGTTCCAACTGCAAGAAAACACCCTACGTGGTTACATATTAAAAAAAAGAGAAAGCACGAAAAAAGTTTAGGCGCAATAATGATTTAAATGCCTTCGAAGAATTTAAACGGCTAAGATCCAAATTTAAAAAGGACGTATAGAAAGCACATAAAGACTAAAATGTATGTATTTTAAAAAATACTCGCATACTTGTTTTTACACCGACCCTGGGATAATTCTCTTAGCTTAGTCTTAAATAGATGAGTAATTACGGGTGAGTTCTTGATATTTGACAACTTTCATATTAAAATGTTTAAACCCACTTTATTAGTTATGAGCTCATTCGTTTTTCCTCTCTATTTTAGACCTTACCTGATGATGAGGATCTGATCCTCGAAACCGGTCGTAATAAAATACTCTTGTGAGATCCTAAGGACCACCCTCGTTTGATTTACCTTTTTTGAACTTATAACTCACACATGGCTACCACCTTCAACTTTAAACATAAAGACTACGTTAAAACACTACAAGAGAATATAAAAAGAAATAGTGGGAACTTTTGGTCATACGTAAATTCTAAAAGGAAAGATGGTGGAATACCTGAATTTATGACTTAGGATGATTTAAATCTTTTAAACATGCAGGATATTGTAAATGGATTTGCTACTTACTTTAAAAATTCCTACAGTAATTCATCAAAGTTTGTTATTGACTTTGAGAGTGATTTATCAAATAATTTACATGTGCATATAGCTGAATTTAAAGAATCTGATGTGTCGAAGGCAATATTAAAGTTAAAATCTAAATTTACTAAGGGACCAGATAATATACCATCCTTCATGATTCGCGATTGCTCCCATGCGTTAGCTATTCCTTTAAATAAAATATTTAATTTGTCACTGCGTACTGGTACATTTCCTAATGCATGAAAGAGGTCAAGAACCGGTCCTGTTTTTAAAAAAGGTAAAAAAATTGTATCGAGAACTATCGACCCATCACTATTATATGTAATTTTTCCAAAGTTTTTGAAATTTTACTATACAATAATATAATACCACACGTCAAACATCAGATAGTGGAAGAACAACATGGTTTTTGTAAGAATAGGTCAACAATAACAAATATTTTCTTATTTACACGATACAGTTCTACAATAGTTGATGGCGGCGGTCAACTAGACGTAATATATACAGATTTTTCTAAGGCTTTCGACAAACTCGCTCATAAAATATTACTTCAAAAGCTTAGCAAGTTTGGATTTTCTAAGCCTGTCATACATTTTTTTCAATCTTACTTGACAGACAGAACCCAGTTTGTTAAAGTGCGTGAATTTGAGTCTGTCGATATCTTAGTAATCTCTGGCGTACCTCAAGGCTCGATTCTGGGATCGCTTTTATTTATACTGTTCGTATATGACATCATTAATGACGTTAACGTAAAAATATTTAATTTATGCAGACGATGTCAAAATTTTTTATCAGGTAGATATGTTTAATGATTGTCTTAAATTACAAAGTAATATTGATAAAATAAATAATTGGTGTTTAATAAATAATCTTCTATTAAATTCAAAAAAATAATATAGTGTCATATTTCAAAAAAGATTTTCCAATTCTCTATAACTACTATTTGGATGGTGTTATATTAAATAGGCCTGATTTTATTATAGATCTTGGGGTAAAGTTCGATAGAAAACTTACTTTTAATGAACATCTAAATGACGTGGTAAAAGCTTCATTCAGAAATTTGGGATTTATCATTAGGCATGCAGTTGACCTCAATTCTATCGAAACCATGAATATGTTGTATAATGCGTTCGTCAAATCAAAATTAGAATATGCTTCAATAATATGGAAACCATTTTATGATACTCACATAAGCGCTCTTGAAAACGTTCAAAGACGATATGTAAAATTCTTGACATTTAAGATAGATGGAACATATCCACCAATTGGGATAAATGACACGTTACTTTTAAATAGATTTCAAATGCAAAGCTTAGAATGTAGACGAAAAAATCAGTAATATTCCTCTATAAACTTATTAACTACCAAATTGATTGTTCCGAGTTATTAGAACAACTTGTATTTAAAGTACCAAGAATTGAATCTCGAAACAACTTAATATTTTATCTGCCGCTATCTCGGAAAAATTTATTAAAAACTAGCCGTTGTATTTTATGTGTGAAAACTGCAACAACCTGCAAGGTTGAATTGATTTATTTTCTTGTAAGCTTTTGCAGCTCAAAAAATTGTAAAGCTGTTTCAGTACTATTTGCTTGTGTATAGTCATTAATTTATTTAATTTTTGTCATATTATGTAATTTTTGTTATATTGTGTAATTTATGTTATATTCAAATTATGTCTTATTGTGCAATATGTTATATTTATATTTACTTTTGTAATTACAATTTTTTTCCTGCTCTATAACTAGGCATTTTGCGTGTAGAGCAGTGTATTTAATAAAAAAAAAAAAATAAAAAAAAATATATTACGCTGTTAGAATAGGATACTTTTCAGTGCCAGATCCTGTATATTAGGGTGGCGTAAAAAAATCTGAGTCTCTTACGAAAATATGTTAATTTATCATGTTTTAAGACTGTAACGTTAAAATTTGGCCTTTTTAAGACTGTAACGTTTAAATTTGGCCTTATAGCGGTTTTTCATAAAAATAAGAATACATTAGTTTTTATCCGTGTTCAATAATTATTTAATGGGTCCTTCTATACCCGCATTTTTAACCACTGTGCTTTTGGTTCGATATTCGAACAGAGCGGTCCTTCTGTGACACTCTGGGTGAGCATGTGGCTGCCATGTATTCAAGATGTCGGTCTAGCGTTTCCGCTCTGACGTTAATTGTGGGTATATCATCGGTTTGGGGTAGATATTTGAGCTTAGTTAGACTATTTATTTGGTTTTAGAGGTTTGTTTGGTTATTTTAGCCCTCTCTGTCAAGAATTGATTTCGTAATAGAGGGCGCTGATGGGACACCTATCTGTCACTGAGGTATGTTGGTATTACTGTTTTTTTTTGAAGTGACGTTGGTTTCCGCCTTCTGGAAATTTTCGAGATTAACATTCGACACGAGGTCCAGATTCGGCACGTGGATTTGGAAGGTATTGTTTCGAAATTTATTGGAAGTCGTTTCAATCCATTTGGGATATTACGAAGCAACCTTTTTGTTTTAAGTTACAACAGTGTGGATTTGGTAGTATTTTTTTGGTGATCACATGTTGTAGGAGCTCTTAGGAGGATATACTTAACCACGTGTTGAATCTCATTGGTGAGTTTTTTCTAAACAGTATTTTAAGTTACGACGTAGTTATTCTTTTGTTAGACCTTCGTTCTTTTATTTCAGTGCCCACATATATATATATATATATATATATATATATATATATATATATATATATATATATATATATATATATATATATATATATATATATATATATATATATATATATATATATATATATATATATATATGTAGTCTTTCTGAATAAGTCGTTCACGAATTTGCCGTTCAATTGATCTGGTGCACCGTTTTTGTCCCTCTTTTTAGCTGTAACAGAGGTAAATATGTTTGGATTTTAGTTAGAATGCTTACTTAGACCTAACCCTAGGTTATGTTCTTTTCGTTGTATATATTTTCAGTAAATGGGATGAACTATTAGAGGTAGTATCTTCAAATGTAAGGGTGTAATTTGCTTATTAAATGTAATTGTTGGGTAGAACTCGCTTCACGAGCCGTCTATCTTTTGCTTTGTAAATCTCAAGATTACCTACATAAAATAATAAGCAAAACTCAATTTAACTAGTAAACGTTGAGTAGTTTTACCTATTTCTAGACCTCGCTTCACGAGAAGGCTATGTGGGTACCTGGTTATTTAATTTTAACTTCTTTATATAACCAGGGATAAATAGTTATCGCTGTGTTTTATCTTTTTCTTTAGGGTTCTTGTGACGGGTCAGTATTCTTGTGACGGGCACACACTTCTTGTGACGGACTGATACTTCTTGTGACGGGCTATCAATTCTTGCGAAAGCCAACACTTCTTGTTACGGGCCAGTAATCCTTGTGAATGGCCAACACTTCTTGTGACGGGCTGACTAGCACATCTTGTGACCAGCTAGTACTCCTTATGATCAGCTAGTAATCGTGTAACGGGCTAGCAACCTTTATGACAGGCAGATTGATTTGTATGCCGAAGTAGGACATCAACCGTCTACTAGAGCAGCTGGAAAGAAGTCACAGCGTACCGCAAGTTTTTCTATCTTATTTTTATATTACTATATTACTATTTAATCTATTTTATTGGGGGGTGTTATTAGTACGTATTTTAATCTAAACCTAATGTAAACGAGATTTAGGGGTGTATGGTTTACAGTACATTTTTATTAAACCCGAAACACGTCACTAAGAGCTCTTCGTGGGATACATTCTTAAGGGTAGTTAATATATTTAATAAGTAACGTAGTTTTACATGTTTTTACCCCTAGCGTCCGTAAATAGTACACTATTATTTGTTTACTTGCTAAATACAGTACACACCTCATGTGTTACATTTTTACGATTACCCTTAGTCCCATTTAATGAATTTAAGTTTAATATAGGGTTTTGGTTGTAAATATTACTCTCAGTGATACTGGATTACTGTTAATAGTTGGGGAATCTGATAGTAATGTACTAAGTGATGTAGTTGTTATTAATTTGGTAAATATCAGTATATTTCATAGTGTGAACGAAGTTGACCCCCCATGTCAACACGATAATTTATATTACATTAAAACTTGGGTATATAATAAACTTTACTTATTATTTATCCCCACTTCCTAACTGTCACGATTTATTGTTATGGTAAAGTAACATTTTTAATATGATATGAGCATAGTCGATTTGTAGCCGCTTCATGGCCTTGTAGAGGAGATGCTATAGTTTTCTATTTGGAGTTTGGTAGTGAACTGTCAAATGGATTGTTGGATGTGAGGTTAAACTCCTGGCGCCCACTCACGAACATAACTTTTTCTACGACTAACCCCCTTCTTCACTGTTGTTAGTCGGCATCCAACATTAGATTAATATAAATCCCACCCCGGTGCTTAGGCACAGAAAGTAGATAGCGGTGTACACTTCTAGCATACTTTTAATTTTAATAGGCACCTTATTTGGTGCTTATAAGAATAGACTACAGTATAGTCCTCATATGCAGACTATAAGGGGTGCTAGAAGCTTAACAGAATGCGAAAAAGCTAGGACTCCACTTTGAAATTAGGAACATAAAATTCAAGCCAAAATCCAACTTGTAGCCGGGCTATAAATTTAGTAGAATAACCCTGCTGAAACTTTATAATGTCGATTTTCAGAACCACAAAGTTAACATATCGAAACATCTAAATTTCTCGAATTCAAATTAACTACAGTTACCACCTTTGTGCTTAGCACGGCAGAATAGAACAACAAATATTATTTAAAATAAAGGACGATTCCAAAGTTAATATTTGGTTTTTAAAATTTGTGTCTGGTTTTTAAAAAGTTTATATATTTTAATAACTTGTATACACAGTTAAATATATACCCAACATCACCTTTTACAGTTTACCACATATTATTTACTGTGTATTTTATTTTAAAACGTATTTCCATGTTAATCATAAAATCAATTAAATAAAAAAAATTGTTTTTAATTAGTTTGCTTTATTTATTAATTTCGTTCCAAAAAAAAATGGTTTAATCACAATTTGTTTGATCGGTTTTCTTTAACTTATTTGTATCGATGCCTTGTGCCTCAAGTTTGGCGTAGGCTTGATTGATTAAGCTTTGAGGTGGATTTTGTTCTCTTGTTAGAATCCAAGCAGTGCCTAAAATAAAAGCAGAAAATAAATATTAAATAGCTATTTGTACATTTTTATTGCATCTAATATATATATTATTAACAAAATAAATAATAATTTATTGTATATAAAATTCCAAAGGGTTGCGACTAATGGGCCACCATCAAGCCGTAATAATATAGAGGAAGATACAAATCAGCTAAACATCACGAGGTCAAAGGAAAGGAAAGAGAAAAAAAGTAAAGAAAAAAAAAAGAAAAATTAATTTTAAAGAATAGGAGAAAAAACAACTGGGAGTGAATTGATCTCCAAAAGAGTGGGAGATAAATCTTATCTTACAGGGAACAATCAAAGACTATATTATAAAAATATGGTTTAGTATTCTACTTGAGGAGTCACCAGACAAATGGATATGAATGAAGCCCAAGTTCGTGTGAAGTGAGTGGTATACAGTATCTAATCTCTTTAAAAAAAAATGGGCAAAGGTCTCGCTTAGTATCAATAAGTAATTCTGCAAACATCTGGCTACCAAGTATCCTATTCTCCTCAATTTTATGCCCTTGTTTGCTCTTTTGTTGATTGGTCTTTTTGTTCTTAGTGAGACCTTTGCACCGTTTTTCTCAAAGAGACTGATTTTTTTGAAATATATTTTAATTCTTCCTGGATTTGGAATTATTTTTCACATTGTAGGACAAGAAAGAAGTAAAAAAGAAGCATTCATATTTAACCGTAATTGTATTTTTTATTTGTTTATGCCATTTCACAATTAATTCCAAATACATTTGCCACCCCCTTTACACAGAGTATGCAGCTATACTTTTCCATTATTGTCCCTAATTTTTTCTTATAAGTTCACACTTAAACGGTCTTAGTTAAAGCAAATATTTTCAAAACTGGACAATAAGACACAGTCATTAAAACTTGTTTTCCAAAAGAAATTTATATTAATATCAAAATAAATATAAATCTGCAAAAGCCCCTGTATCTGTTCTCATTAATGGGGAAATTTAAAAAAAAATTTCCACGGAAAGCTGTTATATTTTTTCTTTATTTAGACGGTGTCTTTTCAGCCCATTCCTCCGAAAATTGTAGAGTCAGTCTAAATCTAAGTTACTGTTATTGGAATATCTGACATGATGTACGCTTGACATATTAAATTGAGAGAGCTAAGTATCGTTTAGCCAATACATACTTGTGTACTAAAGTGTCAGCATTTATTAATATTTTTAATACTTATGTAAATGTTATATACGAATGATTCAACCTTGATCTAATAAGTGACTTAACAAATACATCAAAGTTTATTAGACGGCTCCCCAGTATTTACAACGAACAGGTTAAGTTCAGATTTACAGTTACTAAAAAGTGCGTTTATATGAGATTTTTACGACAGGCTCCTATCCAGAGACCCTCGCACATTATATGGGTTAATTCTGGAAGCTCTGTACACGGTGTGATCAGTCGTTCTTGAGAAAACTAACGCCATATTTTTTTTTGTAGAAAATTGATAGCCAGTATTTTCTTAACAGTTCTACAAATTAGTTATAGATTTTTTGAACATATTTTATATCAAGTAAATGTTTTTTCCTTCAATAAAAATTACCAGTCGAGTTACCAGTTGATCTACATAAAATCTAGCATTTATAAGAGATTTACAAACAATTGAGATTTTGTTGATAGTTACTAAAAAACTGCCCACAGGAATTTTCATTTTTGTAAATTTTTTGTTTGGCTATTTCACGGAATATATTTATAGAGTTAAAAATGTTCTTAAAATAAACTTACTTGAGACAGGAACACCGAAAAGTTCTTGGCAAGACCATACAAGTGCGTAGCTTGTATAATCGGTATCAACAACCCAATAAGGAGCATGTGGAGAGACAACTAAAAAAAAAAAAAGTTGGTAATATTTTAACTAGTCAGAATTACTGTCGCGGCAATGATACTAGCCAGTGTCTTTAAAAAATGGAATTAAAATAAAAACCTTATTTAAGTAAAATAGATATAACTTACGTATTTATATTTATTCAAATCGCTGTTTTTATGACTATATTACTTCAATTATTAAACGAATATACTTATAGCAACTTTGTAGTTAATTTATTAGAGTAACAGATGATCATGTAGACCAAGACTTAAATTTTTAATGCTTAAGCAATAAAAATTATTTTTATTGCTTAGGCAGTAAAAGTGTTTCTTCTATGATCGAGAAATGTCAGTAAAAGTGACATTTAATGTCAATCAAAGTAAAAAATATTTGTTTAAGTCTGCTTGTATCAAATGACAGGCTCATTTAGCCATATTATAACAATTAAGGTTTGATACTTACTTTTCAGATCAATACTAAAGTCCAATTTAGCTTCACCATTTTGACCAACGAGTTTGGCAGTTCCTTCAATAGACGACGTAGAATCACCACTAAAATAAATTTTATTTAAGATAAAGTAAACACAAAATATTTAAAAAAAAATGCCACCGGTTTCGATCTCATGGTTTTTTAAACTTTTCCAACTTAAGTAGTTTTTGTTGATTTACTGAGAAATGCGCTTTTATGAGATAGGGGATACCAAGATACAGAGTGTATTATCCGTTTTGCTTTTTTATTCTTTTATAATTTCGTACCATTTTTTGTTTGTTGCATTAAAATAAAAATATAGTAGAAATATTAGGTTTTTGAAAATAATTTTAATTTGTATCTTAAAAATATGGATTTTCTGCCATTTTTTCATTTAATTCATACAGTTATGAGGCCCTAGACATTATTTAAGATTAACTTGTATTTTTTTTTTATTTTTTATTCGATGAATATTTTAAAGTAAATTGAGATTTTTGTAAGGTTTTTTGCTAGATTTTAAACTTTTTCGACGCGTTTTAAAATTAATTTCCACTTCTAAGTAATTCAGTGACACACGTCGATGCTTTAAATATCGAAAAATAAGTTAGTTTACGTAGGTACTGGAGGAGACGCCGCAATTTTTACATTGATTTTGGGTACTGTCAGAATTTGTTAAAATTTTAGTATGTTATTTTGCAGGTCTTTAAAGGCAACTTTCTTATGGACACCAGATTTGCCGCTCTACAAAGTAAGATGTTTGAAGGATTCAAAAGTAAGGAGGGCAACATTAATATTTTAAAATATATCTCCACCACTTATAAGTAATTCTTGTTTTTTCCATGAAAATTATGTCATGTGTTACACTTGTATATAGTTTGTTTATGATTGCTTACATTTCGCAAAATAAATCATACAGGGTGTTCAAAAAATTGGGAATATCTGTTACTGATTCATGGTGTATTTTTCACGTGTTATTAAAGTTTGAATCTAACTTCTGACCAGTTTTTGTTTCATTTCATAATAAATTATTTTCATAAGTAATACAGGGTGTGATAAGCAACTAAGAATTATAGATTAGCATTTAATAAAAACTTGGTATACCTAAAATATTGTAGAACATCTCGAAACGAATTCTAATTTGATCCTATCTGAGCTCTTTTTAACTAATGCCTACTTAAATGTAGAAATAATTTTAGTTACTTAAAATTTGAATGACTAAAAATACATATTCTAATAACAAAGCACTCTCTGATTTTTATATACAGTACAGATGTCGCCACAGTTATCAATTTATTTCTAAATATAATTCTATTTTTTTTGTAGATTTAGTAGGTTTAGTTTAGTTAAATTAAAACCTCATAAAAAACCATTTACAGTTTTTGCAGTAGTACTTCATTAAAAAACTTTGTGATATGAATACTGATAATATTTAATCCTGGCCAATTCTTATTGTTTCGCTATTTCATACCAATATCTAATATTATCTTGCTTTAGATTATTTTCTGAGCACTTCACATTATTTTTTTTAATTTCTTTATCAATAAGAATAATTACAAAAGGATTCTATAAGCTAAAAGGTTAGCGAGTGTAAGAGTAACTAACACCTTAATTATCATGGGCTAACAGCCAGCGTTCTAATCTTTGTAATTTCAAACTACATTCTATTTTAAATTGTATATTTTCTTCTTATTAGGAACAATTTTTAAAATTTGTTGTTAGTAATTTTTTGATAGTAGGTAGTTTATTTTTGTTAGGAATCTTTCGTGGCGTGCCTTTGTTTTCTGCAATATATGAAATTCAAGAGAATCCCATTACTAGATATTACTGTACATAATATAGGCATGTGTGCTAATGTTTCAAGTGTCTTGTGGTACCTGGAATACGCACGATTCAAAAAATATATAAAGTACCTTTCAACTGCTTTGTTAAGGACTATTTTAAATGTTGCTGGAAGATGAGTTAGATTTAGATAGTGTGTAAATAGTTAATGTACGTAATAAATGCAGTTTATTTTATATTGATTTATAATTTAGTGGGAAGTTTAAAAATCTATATAAAGAAACTGTTATATTTTTGTATTTAATATTATTTATATCTTTCGGTTACACCCTGTAATATCAATTAATATTATCTGTAACAAATAGGTAATTAGAAGTCATGTTCTAATTATGATAATACATGAGAATGCACCTTATTTCAGTAATTATTATTCCAATTTTTTTAAACCCTCTGTATTGTTTTTTTACAAATACATCAATTACTTAAGAGTGGTAGATATACATGTGACATAATTTTTCTGCATTCTTTCCTTTTGATTCCTTCTAACAGCTCACCTTGTAAAGCCGTAAACATGAGGTCCATAAAAAAGTTGTCCATAATGACCTGAAAAGTAATTTAAACAAATTCTTTCAGTATCCAAAATCAAATTAAAAAGTGGGTGGTCCTTTTTTTCTGGAGATACCATGTGACAAAAAATTTCAAATAGTTCAGCATTTATGTGTTTTCAATGATCTAATCTAAAATCAAGTAAGCAAGAGATATTAAATTACGATTTGTAAATATACCTTTGTCTAAATTTGCGCAGTGTTTTAAAAAACACCCCAAATGGAATATTGCAAGAGAAAAAAAGCTATAAATGTATTAATACCAAAATTATACTTACATAATCTGCTCAGTATTTAAAACGTGAACGGTACCATCATCGTTTAATGAGTATTCTGCAGTAGTACATCTGCCACCTACTTGAAAAATTTGTGGATACTTTTCTTGTTCATACCACTTTCCTAAATACTGAAACAAAAATTTATGATCATTATTTATATTTGGATTAGTTTGTAAGTCAGAAAGAAGATATGTAATAACAACCATTCCAGCTCAATCAACTAAACATTAAAAAATAATTTGAACCTATTTCTCCCCTTTGCGTAGATTCCCTTTGCACATTTTCTGTATTTATAACTTCCATATCTTCGCTGCCGGTCTCTTAAAAACTTCAGGTTTATACCTTAAATCTATTACTCTATTTTGTTTCAGCCGCGATATGAATTAATCATTTTGCCCATTGATCACGTCTTCTGTTCACTATGTCAGCTCTATCGTCTTCTTCTCTTTCTTTCAGCTTTTCATGCCATTTAATTTTTCTTATCAGCTCTGGTAAATTCTTTCAATAAACTTCTCCAAAATTGTCTAACAGACTTTAAGCGGTGTTTTATTTATTTAATAAATTTGGTTTTGTGTCGACATTTGGATATTTAGGAAATTTTCCAGTGCAAAAACTAAATAAATCTATTTTGGTGGCAATATTCAAACCTTCCGTCCCACCTGTGAGTGTCGAAGTAAATAATAAATGGCGTTCGCATGTACACGGGAAAAAAGGATGTGGTAACGTATTTATCATTATTTACAGGTCGGTAGCCGCGACTGATCCATGATTTGAGGTGGTAATTGCAACATTGTAACTGTGACGTTCCTGTGTAAATGCAATTTACTATTTACTCTAACACAGACAAAGCAGAATCGAAGGTTCGATCTTGACAGCACTGTATGCGGCTTTCGTTGTTGGACATCTCAGTAGACATTTAAATATGAGTAATTTAGTTAATACCCGGTTTGCGTTTAAAATTATTGGGTCTTTTCTAATTAAAATATCTTTGGCTTCTTGCATCAACCATGTCTGCCTTTTCTATTTAATTAATTATTGTCACTTTAAATTTTTAAAACTGATTAGCCTCATTAGCATTATTTTAATTTTGTATTTTCTATTACTTTCTACTCTAATGTTCATTAATGCTTTAGCAAACCTAAACATCCAAATAGTAATCCCAACTAACCTCTTCAATTTAAAAAATATGTGGTCCAATGGGTATACAGAGTGATTCGGCATATTTTTTAATGTCATTAGAGGCAATTTTATAAATTTCAATTGGCCTTCAGAAGTTTCTTGAATATTCTATCGCAAGATCCTCTATTGTATGCTTATAAAAACTTTGGCCCATTAAACTATTTTTCTGAATAAAATATTTTCGTTGCAGCACATGTAGCTTCATCAGCAACGTTTTCTTTTGTTGGAATTCAGTACCAATCATTTTTATCTCTCCAACACTGTGGCGACCAATTTTAATTCTTAAATTTTTAAAATTCAATTATGTTGAAATGGTTTTAGAATGAGTCCACAGATAGATTTTATTAATTTTTTACCTTAATTTCTTACGTTATAAATTTTATAATCCTTGAAATTATTACTTCTGGGAAGTTTAAGTTAAGGAATAGAAGTTCGCTCCAAAACACTTTCCATAGTCTTAACAACTACGAGTGATGACTTATGGATATACATTTCATATACAGTGTGTACCATAAAGTTAGACTAATTGGAGAATTTTTTAATATTACGATTAAAAAAAAATGTGTTAAAACAATAACCTCTGCTTACTTAAAAAAACATAAAATAGGCCATATTAAAGTTATCTACCAAATTTATTGGCCAAATTAGTATAATTTTTTTAAGATGATTTTTCTAAAAAATACCGAATTTGACAGATAACTAATGTCGTACCTAGCCAACTTTAATATGAGCTATTTAAAGTTTTTAAAAAGCAGAGGTGAATGCCTTAAGATGTATTTTTCCAATCCTTAAATTAAAAAAATTCCTATATGGATCTAACTTTATGAAACACAACAGTAAGTTTCGATTTTAACATGGTGAAACATTTCTTTGATGTCCCCAGCAAAGGTTATTTTTTACGAAAAATTCTTTAAAACTTCTATTAGTGGTCGAAGCATGTCCGTTTTTATATTCAAGCTAACTTTTGTTTGGCTATAAAAACCATTTTTAGCTTTTCGAATTTGATCGGCTTGGCAACCCCGAAATGTGATAAATACCATAATCTATCAATAGGTTCTCTAAATCCTTCTTTTGAGAGCTTTCTTGCATACCTCTAATAACACTGCAAACGTTCTATTTTCATCCATTTTCATCTCTATGCAATACAATAGACTTAATATAAATATTCTAATAACTAAAAAACGAGAGTAACCTCTTCTTCAAAGCAGTTCTGTTAAAACTCTTTTTCACACTCTATTTTTCGTGTTTTCCATTATTTCTTCGTCTCAAATCTTCCTATACCTTAACTGCTCTTTCTACTATCTTTGATCCATGTCATATAATTCATTAAATATATGCAAATCTTTATCAGGTTTTCAAACAAATTACGATTCTATTGAATGCATTTGTTCTAGAGTAGCATTATTTTAGAGCTTGTCTTTTTTATTTATGTATTGAATTAACCAATTGACCAGTTTGCTTTTTTCAAAAATTATAACTCTAATACTGTTTATTTTTGAGTTGACGACGCTTATTTTCATTTCAAAAAGTATGTAAAAAACTGGATATCTGGAGCTGTTGTTATAGAAGTTATAGACGTCAGATAGTGACAGATTTAGGTGCCATATTTTCGATTGCAAGCCTCCAAGAGTGTTGAAAACTACATGGATGTAAAAGTAAATTTACGAGTAGCTCTGGGGAATAACATATGGTAAACTAGATTAACAGAAATATTTTCCTATCCCAAAATTCAGTTATCCATTCGGGTCATTTAAGAACAAGTGACGATATACGTTTCCATACATTGGATTGGCTTATGTAGAAAAATTCAATAAAAACTCGATTTGTCCTTACAATATTACGCCATTATTTAAACCCTCTAACCACTTGCAACATCAAAGCCTTTGGTTTTTCGAAACCTAGTTCTATTACCTAGTTAATAATTTAGTAAACACGCCTTGCGTGAAAATATGGGCCACACGTACCTGTTAATTTATGTTAAGAAAAATCAAATTTACCATATATTATCCCCAAGAGTAACTTGATAATTTCTTCTCATTCTACTCAAAATCGATGTACTCTTCAGCTCTCTTCGAAGGTCTATTTTTATGAACGGCAAATTTGTCCTGAGGACGATTATTATTATAAACATAATTTAAATTTGATATTAAAAAAATACTTTTTTATCTCTACAATCATATAATACCGGGTGTCTCATTATATTTTCCAACATTTAGCAAGCTTATAACTTTTAAACGAAAGTACTTAAAAACATGCGGTTTCCGCCGAAATGTATCAAATTATTCCAAGTTTTATTTCGGTGAATCCAAAATTATTTAGCACTTCCGTTTTACTGAAAAACAAAAAGGCGGTATTTTAAAGACGTATTGTAAATGTTTTTTAAAGGATATATTTTTTAATGCTACGAAAGCCAATCCTTTTAGCTATCTGGCGATCTAAAGTTTTCTGAAATCGATGAAGAAATGACTGAACAATTAAATTTCCTGAAAAAGCCTGCAAATTAATAATGACCAATAACTCTCATCAATAATTTTATAGTAGGCGTTAGTACGTTTGTAAGAAATGTCAAAATTGTTGTTTTATTTGTTCTAAAAGCTTAGACTAAGGTTTCAAGTGATTCTTTTTACATTAAAGTGTTATTTTCTGAAACAAAAAAGGCAAGAATCATAATTAATTTTGCTGAAACAAAATCTATTATGCGAACAAGGTGAAGATTTTTTATAGCATTTAATAAAACAGCATCGACATACAAAACAATATTGAAGTGGTTTAACATTTTCAAAAATAATGAATCAGTAGCCTGAAAAAAAAACGAAATATCGGCAAGGATAATCTTTTTTACTAGATCTCCCAAGTCATCTATCAGAAAAATAGCGTCAAATTTTAATATGAGTAGATTCAAGGTTCATAGAATTTTACAAGCACTAAAACTGAAACCTTACAAAATTCAATTACACCAAAAATTTTACGAGAGAGACAAAGAAAAACGTTTATATAATGTGTTAGACAATGTTGGACTTGATAAGAAACAAGCCTGAGCTCCTTTTAATAATGTATGATGAAGCAAGTTTCCAGGTTAATGGAGCCGTCAATAGACACAACTGTAGAATTTGGAGTGAAGAGAATCCACATGAAATTTATGAAAGTATAAGAGACTCTCCTAAAGTGAATGCTTGGTGTGTTGTGAGTAAATACATGATTTACGGGCCATTTTTTTGCCGAATAAACAGTTACCAGTCCAATGTATACGGACATGTTAGAAATATTTTTTTAACCGCAAATTGACCAGGATGGAGAATTATATGAAATCTATTTTAAACAATATGGAGCATTATTCACTGATTGCTCGTCAATCAGTTTCTAATAAATTTGGTGACAATTGGATTGGTAGGAGAGGACCAGTTGAATGGGCTCCAAAATTCGCCAGACCTAACAGTGCCAAATGTTTTTACTTGGGCATATGTTAAAGCTTTAGCTTATAATCCTACACCTCAAAATTTAGAAGAGTTAAAACACACTATACGTCGAGCATTTGAAAGCATTATTCCCAACATGTTAGAAAAAGCATATACAAATTTATTAGTACGTTTACACAATTGTGTTAATGTAAACGGCATTTGAATTATTCTTAAATTGTTTAATAAAAGTTTGTTAAAATGTTAAATAAGTTAATTAGGCTATACTAGAATATCATTAATAAGCAATAATTATTATTGATTATTGATTTTGAATACATTTTCACAAAAATTATTGATGAGAATAATTGTTAATTATTGATTTTGCAGGCTTTTTCAGAAAATTTAATTGTTCAGTCATTTTTTCATCGATTTCAAAAAACTTTATATCGCTAAATAGCTAAAAGGACTGGCTTTTGGAGCATCAAAAAATATACATGGTGTTCCATTAAAAAAATTAACAAATACGTCTTTAAAAAGAATCGCTATTTTGTTTTTTAATAAACCGGAAGTGCTAAATAATTTTGGATGTGCCAAAATGAAACTTGAAATAATTTGATACAATTCGGTGAAAACCGAATATTTTTAAGTACTTTCGTTAAAATGTTATAGGCTTGCTAAATGTTGAAAAATATAATATATTACTTGTGTTAGGATCATTTGGACCAAAGCCCATGCCGGAATAACTGGTAAAGAAAAAGCTAAATATAAAGCTGGGAAAAATAAATACTATATATGACTTTATTTTTCTCTTTTAATATATGGGCTTTATGTAAAAAGGGACTTGAAAAGATAGAAAAAGCACTAGAATAACTCTATCCCCAATTTAAAAAATCATAAATTATATTCCCCACATTCTATTCCCCACATCAAAAACTTTAATTTTAGCAGAGCCAAGCAATAATTTCATTATTTTTTTGATTGTCGTAAAACAATAAGAAGTATATAGAGAGATTTCTATTAATAACAGTTATCATTTACTATTGAATATAACCCGACTTCTACCCTCAAGAGAAAATTTTTTCTTGGGTTTAATTTTAGATTTAATTAGGTCTATCGATATGAGTTTATAAAATAAAAAATAGCTTAAAACTTAAAGTAGTAGATATGTAGCAAATAATTTAAAACGAATGTCAACCCATCCTACTTACATAAGTACATATTTTTTTGCGAATACGGGTGTAAAAGTAACTCTAAAAAACACACTATAATTTCGAAGACACTATTTTTCTTTAAAATCTAAAAATGTTTTAAAAATATACTAACCGCAGGAACATTAAAATGTTGAACCACGTCTGGATTTAAACATCCACCCAGACAAAATGGTAATATTGAAGCGATTATTAGCAAGAAATACATAATTTTTGATTTTCTTTAGCACTACTTAATACCAACACTAATTGTTTTACAAAAATTTTGGTAACTCTCTACACAATTATATTTTAAATAAAAACTTTGTATTTATATGCAATCCAATCTTGATAAATAATTTGGGAAAATTTTAATTATTGATTTTATCTTTACCTCAAGTACTTTATGGTTAATAAGATATACCGGGTGTTCCGATATATAAAATGTATTCGAAAAGTTTTGCAGTTAATAAAGATTATTACCATTATTAATTGTTCTGAACGTTTTTCAAAAATTAAACAAAAGCAACAGTTAGGGTGATAAAATAAAATTGTCCAAGTACCCACTTAGCAAATACTTTTTGTCGTTAATAATTCCTCAAACTATCAAACTATAACGTAATGGTTATCTTGCTAATTTTTTAAATATTTTTAAAACAGGGTATTTACATGGTACCCCATTAGTGCGTAATTGTTCTGTATTTTAATTTGTGTGATATACATGCAAAAAAATTTTAAATAAAAGTTATATGGATTTGTAAAATGCATATTTTAAAAATATTTTTGGATATACAGGGAATTAAGGTTTTGCCTGGCAAATAAAAACGACACCTTATTAAGTATACCCCAGATGCTTTGACTATTGAACTTTTTCTATTTAAATTCCCCCAATTTTAATCTGAAAATTCTATTATCTGGCGTTATAGACAAATTAGCCGTAATTTGGTAAAAACATATTTGTAGAGCTCTCAAGGAAAAATTTAACTATGCAAACTGCTTTATAGTTTAAAGGGTAGTCAAGTTATAAAACAAATTCCAATTTGATCTGAAAATACTATTCTCTCCAGAAAACTAGGCGGTGATTTTGTAAAAACCAATTTTTCTACACCTACATGGATTTTAGCTTATCAACGCATAAATAACAAAACGAAAAAGTATGCTATTGCGTTCAACTAAACGAATATATTTTATATCCATTCTAAGTAGTGAGTACACTGCAAAAAATAAAAGCCACCAATCACAGTTCATATTTTGTTCGTCCAACTAATATTATTTTAAAATTTTAAATAAGTGACATTTCTGTGATACTAATTCTCAGAATATTTTTAAGATATTGAGATTAAAAAACTGATGTGTTTAACACATGATTTTCCTATCTAGTTATTATGGGCTTTTTCCGGTTATTTTGTACAACCTATTGTATCGCCTCTATAAATTTTTAGAGGATAAACTAGATATATACAGTTTCCACATACATTTAACTCGAAACATTTTTCTATAGATATTCGTTGAAAACGAAAATACTGAAAAATTTAAATTTAGCACTTTTCCTCTAATTTTTTCATTACAGTCGATTTTAGAAAAATCATTTAAAAAAAATTATAGAGATCGATATCGCAAACAACTTTTAGTTCAACAATTTTCTTAAAAATCAGAATTTTGCACATTTTTTCAAATTTCTCGAATACGAGCCATTTCAGGAAAATTTTACATAAAAAAAATTATAGATAATATTAGAAGTAACTTTTATTTAAACAATTTTCTTCTCCAATAACAATATAATCCATAAAATATAAAAACGGCTTCCTGTAAAGTACCCTTTCCCCCCCCAGATGTTCCAACTTTGTCCAAAGTCTAATCATTTCAGGTCAGGACGAAATAAAGCTTAAGTTTAAAATTTAATGTTTTTTCCTCTATCTGTTTTTGAGTTTTTTTCAAAATTTTAAATTTACACATATTCTCAAATATCTCGAATACAGTCCATGTTAAAGAAACTATGTGTGGAATAAAAATTATAGAAAATTATTTTTTTACATTTTGTCAAATTTTTCGAATACGGACCATTTTAGGAAAATTTTGTATAAAACAAAAAATATTGATAAAAATAATGTTAGTAACTTTAATTTAAAGAATTTTCTTTTCCAAACGTAAATACCAGATATATTACATAAAATATAAAAATGACCACCCATAAAGTACCCCCCAAATGTTCCAACTCTGCCGAAAATATAATCAGTTTATTGGACACCGAAAAAAAGCTTAAGTTTAAAAAAACTTTTTCTTTGTATCGGTTCATGAGTTATGGTGGACACACACACACACACACACACACACACACACACACACACACACACACACACACACACACACACACACACACACACACACACACACACACACACACACACACACACACACACACACACACACACACACACACACACACACACACACACACACACACACACACACACACACACACACACACACACACACACACACACACACACACACACACACACACACACACACACACACACACACACACACACACACACACACACACACACACACACACACACACACACACACACACACACACACACACACACACACACACACACACACACACACACACACACACACACACACACACACACACACACACACACACACACACACACACACACACACACACACACACACACACACACACACACACACACACACACACACACACACACACACACACACACACACACACACACACACACACACACACACACACACACACACACACACACACACACACACACACACACACACACACACACACACACACACACACACACACACACACACACACACACACACACACACACACACACACACACACACACACACACACACACACACACACACACACACACACACACACACACACACACACACACACACACACACACACACACACACACACACACACACACACACACACACACACACACACACACACACACACACACACACACACACACACACACACACACACACACACACACACACACACACACACACACACACACACACACACACACACACACACACACACACACACACACACACACACACACACACACACACACACACACACACACACACACACACACACACACACACACACACACACACACACACACACACACACACACACACACACACACACACACACACACACACACACACACACACACACACACACACACACACACACACACACACACACACACACACACACACACACACACACACACACACACACACACACACACACACACACACACACACACACACACACACACACACACACACACACACACACACACACACACACACACACACACACACACACACACACACACACACACACACACACACACACACACACACACACACACACACACACACACACACACACACACACACACACACACACACACACACACACACACACACACACACACACACACACACACACACACTGAGAGAGAGACACATTCGTTGGATTTAATTTCTTTTACTCTTGTGCAAAAAGATATTGATAGGAGTTTTGCCGCTTCATATTCCTGGGCTGTAATCAGTTTTTTTCTTAGCGTTGTGTAATATTGTAGACGAAGGGCATGCTGCATTTCCACATCTTTTAATCCATCAATAAATGCCTGTATTCCAAATTGTTTTTGGAAATTTTTGGGCGCCTGTGGATAGGACAGATGAATTAATCTTCTTGTGTCGGCCTCTAATTCCTGTAGACTCTCATTATGTTTCTGACTACTAACCTTTAGCTGGCTTTGAAATACCCGTTTCAAATGCTGCTGGCCACATCTTGCCTTCAAAGCTTGGACGAGATATGAATAACTGGGGTTTATTTAAGGAAGTAGCTATAGAACGCTTTCTGTCTGTATTTGCAGCTACACTATCAATGCAGTCTCCATCTCTTTTTTAGCCCAGCCATTAGCTCTAGCTGCAGCTTCAAATTGGAGACGATAGGTTTTTTATGTTATCTGACTGTCAAACGTGGGTGACTTAATGATCTTGCCAGTAGGTATATGTGAAACTGGGTTTTAAATATGGCTTGGTTTGATTACAGATGAAGAAGTAGTTTTTCCAGTTTCTCTTCTGCTTATCGAGTCTAGGATACGAATTATTCTTTCTAACTCAACTAGTTTAGTTTTAGTTTGCCTTGATGGTGGGTGAGGTTTTCCGGGTTTTCCTCACCTGTAAGTCAAATGGCACCATCAATCATCTTTAAGTCGCCCCGGAGCGCCACGGCAAATAATAATGATAGCCGTCCCTTTCACTCGTAAGGGGGTGAATTAGGGAGAGTATTATTATTATTATTATTTTGAACTCTATTCTTTTCCTGTTGTTGTTTTAAATTGATTTTTAAATCCTCTTGCTGCTGTTCTTAATGAGTTTTAAGATGTTTTTGTTGTTGCTCCAAATTAGTTTTTAACTTTTCTTGCTGTTGTTCTATATTAGTTTTTAAAATCTCTTGTTGTGCCAAATATTTACTCTGTTGTTAAGTTGATCAACCTCTTGCTTGAAGGTTTCCTGGATTTGTAGCAAACTGTTCACAATTTCAATCGCTTCTTTTCTACGCATCTTCTCCTTCTCCTCTTCTTTGTCCTTCATGTGCTTCTTCTTTTTCACTTTTTCCTACGTCTTTCTTTTTTCTCGTTTCCTTCTTGCGATTTTCCTTCTTCTCTTTTCTTTCTTGCGTTTTTCCTTTTTCTCTTCTTGTCTTTACTTTTCTTCCTCCTTCCTACGCTTTTCTTTGTCCTCTTCCATCTTCAAAAACCATGCTGGGGGAGCTGAAGTGTCCATGTTTGTTCCGTACTCAGTGGATCTAGTATTTACCATGAACCTTTAGTTTGGATCCCACCGCTGTCACCAATGTTACGCAGGTTTTTGGTATCTCAATTTATTTCAACTCAACCTTTACAATAACTATCAACTGATAACATTAACATATAACATCTATCATGAAACTGACTCTCTGACGTTGGAAACACCAAGTTATATAGCTTGATTTGACCTCATAGAACCTTCTCGAACTGTCCAGATTTTTCTTGGCGTGGAATGACATTTCTCGAATATTCCCCCTTCCTCTTTTACTCGTACCTTTACTTATGACGACCTCAGTACCCTGCGGGATGCTACATAACAAAGTTAACTAAGCAATGACCATCTAGTCATATTTTCAATAAATTTTTTCGTTACGCCAATAAAAAAACAATCATTAATATTTATTATTATTACGT